CTTCCTTCCTTCCTTCCTTCCTTCCTTCCTTTCTTTTTTTCTTTCTTTGTTTTTGTTTTTGTGAGAGTCAGGGTCTTGCTACGTCGTTCAGGCTAGCCTTGAACTCGCTCATGTGGTGCAGGCTGACCTCAAACCCTCTACAATCCTCCTGCCTCAGCCTCTCCAGTGCTGAAATTATAGGCATGCACCACCATGCCTGCTGGTTTATTGTACTCAAAAGCAGTAATGAAGCTTATTTTCAAACACTTAGCTTTCTAAAAGAAAAAAAAAGTCACAGGACTGTCCTGCTACAATGCTGTATATGGTGAGATTTCTAAATTTTGTGTAAAAATATGTAATTGCTTATTCATATTCTTTAAATATTTTTCATTTTTTAAAATTTTTATCTCCATATTCTGTAGGGACCTAATGTTTAACATATCAATACTTGATGGAAACTACCTGCCCCATGTTATGCCTAAGATGTTTGATATTCAGACAGATAGTGAGGTTAAACCCAACTGCATAAGTTGTAGGGCAATAATAAACTTCTCTTCTGGAGAGTTAACAACCTAAGTTTGCAGACTAAAAATTAGAGAAATAGAAGGGCTGCAAGGATATCCAACATTTTGACCATAGCCTTTCAAGTTCAGTGAAGACTCAGGACATAGGAGAACCTATACTGTAATATCATGTAACTCAGTTGTGTCCCAAATTTTCTGGTCAAGGAGATTATGGGGCCAAAGAGGAAAGTGATCGATGGTGTAGAGTGTGCCTAAGGAGAGTCACATGGAGAGAAAACATTCTCTCAGGATTTCACAGAGAGCAAATCGATCAAGCAATGGCCATGACTCATTCACATGGCTGACACTGACAGAGGATCTGCAAATTGCGGTACTGGGTTACAGGATAAAACCTGAGGGTACTTGACTAACTTTATCATATACAAGAGTTACATTTCTTGTTACAAAGGTCTTGCTTTACCTTGGTCTTAACCATCCAGCAGAAAAGTATAAAAACAAGGTATATAAAGTAAAGCCATATTAATATGCTGAGCTGTGAAAGGCTCAAGTCAACAACTTCTGTGGATAACCCACTACTATTGTGGACTGCTGGACTGTGTTGGATTGTTTTGCTGAATTCACGCACCTATAGCATTTAGATGCCAATAGAATACCCATTTTTGACAGGACTAAACAAAAAAAGGTGATACAAAGGAAGGACCATTTTGTATCTATATATGCAGAATAGTTAGAATAGATATATAGCTACTTTCGCTTAATTCAATGAGAAGAAAGATTTGTACTAATAGTGTTTGGACAGCATATTCTGTCTGCATCTTGTACTATGGATAACCACTAAGAATATAACAATGTACAATGTATTAATTATTGAAACTGTCCTATTAATCAGTTTTGAAACTGTCTCATTGTTTCTCAATAAAATAAAATAAAAACTTATCTGTCTAAATATGTCCTTCATTATATCAAATATCATCACTTAAATAAGAGCAAACTTAAGCAGTGATTCATTCTTATAAGTTTTATTAATGCCAAAAATGAAACAATGAAAGCAAAATGAATGAAAAGAATCAGTGACTGTGAGTATAGAGATTATATGAAAGGAGGCTGCAGAAATCATTAAGAGAAAGGCAGGTCTGGCGGGAGTCCTGAGCCTGGACTTGGCTGCAACAATGCAGCTGATCCATGCTCCAGGGTAAAGTGGCCCAAACAACAACTCCAACAATGTTGCTTTGTGCCTGCGTAGCTGGACTGTGTGCTGCACCTGAGGCTCCTCCCTTTCCAAGGAAAGCTTAGCTCCCAGCATCCTGGGTTGGTGACCTTCCCAACTTGAAGGCTTGAGAGTCTCCTCCATCCTGCACTGGAAATAAAACAAAAAGGACCTACAGAAAACAATGCAGGACTAATGCTGCCACATTGTCCTGTTCTTCTAGTAATTTCTAAATCTCTCAGGAAGGTGTCCACTGCACAGACACGGTAGAGGCAAGCCATATGACCTTGAATCTGAGTGGTCTCTGCTATCATTTCTCTACCAAACATCCACTTCTTGGTCAGAAACACAGCCCTGTCTTACATACACATCATTTTTCTCCACCAAGGAGCAATTTGGCTGGCATCACAGTACCTTTCTCGGGGTCATATGTTGCGATCAACTCAAAAACCACCTGAACTTTGTTTCTCTGAACTGTCCTTTTGCCTAGTTGTCTCTCAGCAGTTTTACCAAAGCAGGACATAAGTGCATTACACCCTGGAAATGAAGGGTGATGTTACCTGTTGAAAATAATTTATTCTGGAGTGGAAGGGGAAAGCACAGTAGAAAAAAAGAAAAATGCAAGGCAGTTATACTATTAGTGTCTCTTAGATCATTACAAAAGATTTGCATTAATATTAACTAGAGAAATTTGTATACCCACATCTTGTATCCTGAACAACTATTCTAAAGATAACATATATTAACAGTGACTATTCTCCTATTATTTTGTTATGAAATTTCATTTCATCTTTTTTCTATAAAAATAATTTGTGAGCTGTATCACCTTCTATCAACATAGAGAATACCCATTTAGAGCATCCTATTTCTAATTAATCACATCCAAACAGCTCACATGTGCTCACATTTATGTTGTTTCACACACAAATACATTCTTGGAAATGCTTTGTAGGAAGAAAAATCATTTATCTTTTCCAATTGAATGACATTTCAACAGGGCCATAATTTCAGTGGTAGCTTTTAATCTGGTATGGTTCATGCTCCTTGGAGCTACAACTTTCCTGCACTACCTGCTACACTACAGAAAATGCAGTGCAGTGATTGAAAGGGAAATGCCCCCCACATGGAGACATTGGCACTCTTGGACACTAGCAGTCCTGGTTTCTGCAATTCTTGGTCACTCACACGGGGAAGAAGGCAGCTCCTCACAGGCTCAGGCCTATGTGTGGTGATGTGGAGCCAGCCCAGCAGTAGGTAGAGAAGGGCACCCTCTCCTTGTTCTGTATAGGTTAACTAAAGGACCTGAACTTAGTTTAAAATATTTGGCAATTATCTTCTACTTTGCCACACAAACAAAAATGATGTCATCAGAACCTGCTGCTTTGAAAATAAAAGTGACATCTTGTATGGTCTGAAAAACCAAGACCTTGGTATTTACCTATCTTTGGAGCAGTTTGATCATGAAACCCTAGAGTCATCCAAATTTCTTTCTGGTGGAGCCACATAATGTGTATGTTAGACAGGTTGCGTAGTCCAGCACAGATTTAAAACTGGTTATCTAGTTGTCACTACTGCTGTTAAAGCTTCAGTTGAATAGTGCACAAAGAAACCCTACTTGGATGTGCAGACCATCTAAGTATCAAAGCTCCTGACCAGATTCTTACAACAGGGAAGGGTCATGATGGCTAGATTTACCCAATTGACTGATTTTGCCAAAATGCTCAGAGGCAGTGGGAAAGAGTAGAATGCCCTTGCAAGTGGCTGCCGAGACAACTCTGAAGCTGGACTCTATCTCAGCGCTACGACTGATTTTTAGCAAGGCGATCTCTCCTCTGGCTCTTAGTTTTCTGTTCATCCAGGTAGGAGCCCAGCCCTAGCTTCTGGGCACAGAAGACATTGTGGGCTCCTTGCAACCCCCGTGGTCAATGTCTGCTCATGCTCACTTGGGAGACAGAAAACTGCTGCCTTGGACGGGCCGGAGAGTCCTGAAGAAGGGATGTTCTGTCAAGATGAGCAGAGAGGGGCCTTACAGGGAAGACAAGGGAGCCTCTTAGGAATAGTCAGATAACAATCGCTGATTCAGCCAAGCTCTTCTCATGCCTTGGGACCGGCCTTGCTAGCCTAAAACAAACATCTGCACTCAGCAGAACTGGATGCCTATGTTGTTCCTCAATAATCCCACAAGTTTTAAGTGAGTTTGGGGCTACATTTTGGTAGGGACCCCTGACCCTCCTCAAAGAAATCCCCTGTCTCTCATATTATCATTTGTCTCTCAAGGCTTGCTGGCCCAAATCTGGCATGATATGATGTATGTGCAAGCATGCTGGGAAAAGCCCAATGTCAATAGAACAGCCAGCACAAACATGATGTCATTAAAGCCACCAAGGTCATCTGCTATGCTCCTCGTGGATCTCGAATCCACTGCCCACCAGGTGAATTGTATCTCTTTGGTGACAAAAATGATGTTCTAACAGAGTCTTTGGAGTAGGAAGCATAGATTCTTCCACCATCACTAGGCTTGAGTCTCTCAACTATGCCTTCAAGAGGTATGACAAGATGGTCTCCAAAGACTCCTTTGCTAGGACAATTTATGACCCCAATCAAAGCACAAGAGACAGGACAGAATTTTAGGTACTGAAGGAAATGATGCTGTCTTCTTGTTACCAACACTGACTCCAACCTTTACTCCAAATATTCTATTTGAACATTTTTAACAGAATGTTTGGGAAAATGGTCTCCCAAGTCTTGTTGGACATCTTCTTATTTTGCCTGGATAAATGGCATTTTTCATATCTCCATCTGTGAATGTAGAGTCTACCATCTCATCCTTTTGTGACTGGGTAGCCAACTGCAAACTGTAGGGATGAACCTGTACCAGGCTCCAGGGGTGGGGCTGGGAGGGCAGCGACTGACTCAGATCTCTCCCTGGGAAGAAACTGTCCCCTGCTCTCTATTCAGTATATAAAAGGGTCCTCTCTCCTAAGGGTTCTTACCTAAATCACAGAAATGACACATTCTCTCTGGGTTTTAACTTGACTTGACCACTGGTGACTTTAGTGGAAAAAAATAACTGCAAATTAAGCACTGTGTCTCCAGATTTCACACTGTCAAAGCCTGTACCTCTCACACTTTGGATTGCCTCTCATCTGTCCACTCCTGCTTAGTGCTCTGGAGAGCCTGGGTCTTCTGCTCATCCACTTGGACATAGTCTACCCTTTGCTCTTCTGAAAGGAGAAGTTTCTGAAATGGGAGAAGAAAAAGGTTTCATTACATCTAATTTAAATTTTCACAAAATGCCTACACCTTTGGTAGAATATATTGTCATTAATTATTTTCTATTCCTTTCTCCCTGCAGAAATGTGGGGTGTGAGAGAGAGAGAGAGAGAGAGAGAGAGAGAGAGAGAGAGAATATTAAAGATAAAAATAAGCATCCTGGGATTCTTGATCTCCTTTTTCCCCTCCCAGGAGCACTGGGTTGAAGACCGGCTTTCTCGTGAGAAACAACTGGAAGAGCCTCTGCTGCAGTGACTGGCTGAGATGCAGAGCTGTTTGTCCTGCATGCAGTCTACTGAAATTGATTAATATTCCTTTGGACTTGTTGCTTCCACCATTCTTACCACTGTATTTCTTTTCCCATTTATGTATTTGGTATAGGGTCTCACTATGCAGCTTGGACTCGTAGTGATCCTCCTGTTTTCAGCCTTTCCAGTGCTGGGATTACAGACTTGGTTGCTGGCTCAGTATGCCCTGGGGGTGGGGCCGACAGGGCCTGCAGAACCAGGAATGGAACCCTGGTGTTTGCGCTTGCTAAAGCAAGTGCTTATTCCACTGAACTATCTTGCTGGCCCCTGACCACTGTATTGAGTCTCAGTTCATGGTTTAAGAATGACATTTAGAGGTAAAGGAGAAGTAGGAGTTACTTCAACAGAATAGGAGGGCAGTCTTCCAGAGGAGTTTCTACACAGCCTCCCTGTCCCCAAAAACCTGTGAATGGAATCAGACCACTCTATTTCATGAGCTGTTTTTTTTTGCATCCAAAAGTACATTGTTAGACACAGTTTGGGTTGGAACCATCCCTTGCCCAAAACTGTCATCCAATCACTTACCGTTCGCTCACTCATGCATCCCAAGCCTACACTGTGAAGTCTGTGGTATTTGTTAAAGGCTAGGATCACATATGAGTATTAATTCAGTCAATCCTCACAATGGCCCTCAATTAGATGTCATTATTTCTAATCCCTACTTTACTGATCAGAATACTGCCAAAAGGAGTAGAAAATGCCCAACATGGCATTCAAGGAGTTCTACAACTTAGAGTTCTTTTTACCACTCCATAAATTCTAGCCACACTACAATGTAAGCTCTTCCCTAAATAGGCCTTTTCCTTGCCTGGAAAGCCCCGAGCCCACCTTCATAACCATCTAAAAAATTTTCTGTTACTTTTTGGGCCCAAATTTTGAAATGTTAATATAATATCTACCTATACACATGCATCCAAAGAACCTACTCTAAAGGAAACACAACAGAATTTCATTCACTCTGAGAGGCAGGATTAGGGTTAACTTTCCTATTGTTCGTGAAACATGTCTGTACTTCTAATGACTCCTGCAGAGGACACCCATGGTGTGATAATCAGAAAAGTCTAAGCAAAAATGAAATCACCTGGCAATTCTTAGCCACAAAATCCTTCCTACCTGGTGTATGGGGGCTGGTGATGCTGAATTAAAGTCTAGGGCCAAATAATCCAGGCTGAATTTCTTTGTCCAGGGAAAAGCACCACTGTTCAGGGAGTTGGTTGTCCGGTACTGCTCCTAGGATCAAACAGCACAGGACTCTGGTTAATCATATCCAACCAAAAAGGTAAACAAATCTCAATACATAAATACAAGAGACATAGGCCAGCCAAATAGCTCAGCAGATTAAAGTGCCTGTAAGCAGACACAGGGGCCAAGTGTTTGATACCTGGGCCTGCAGTGCCAGCCCCACCCCCGGGTGCTCTTAGATGGCAATTGAGACTGGGCATGGTGGCACATGCCTGTAATCCCAGCACTTGAGAAACTGTAAACAGGCAAATCACTATGAGTCTGATCTAGTAGTGAGACCCTGAACACCTTGTAGACCCCTCCCTAAAATAAAAAGAGAGAGAGAGAGAGAGAGAGAGAGAGAGCGACATGAATGAACAAACAAGGCAACATGACTCCCAAGATTTATCACTTCCATAGTAAATAGGTTACAATGACATCAAAGTGGACACAATACCAAATAAGTCAAAAAATGATTATAAAATGATTAACAAAGTCAAAAAAGAAATAAACAACAGAATGGAAGAAAGACAATACAGGGTGTTGAACTTAGCAGTAAAAAATTAGAGATTCTGGAAACAAAACAAACAGAAATCTTGGAAAAGAGAAGTCCAATTAAGCCAAATAAAAAAATTCCATAAAAAATCCCACCAGCAGGCATAAACAAACACAAGACAAACATTCCAGGCTTAGAGATAAAACCAGTATATTGCTACATTTAGATAGCAATAAAGAAACACTAAGAAATTATGAGAAAAACATGTGACACCTCTAGCGTATGACTGAAAAGGCAAATTTAAAAGTCACTGAAATATAAGAGGGCCTCAAGATGCAGACTAATTTATAGAAAAACTATTCAGTGAAATAATACCAAAAAGTTCCAAAATCTTGACAATGCTATTGATATCCAAGTACACAAGGCATTCAGAACTGCAAAATGTCCAGAGCACAGACAAAAGAAATGACACTGAAAGCTGCAAGAGAAACAAATACCAAATCTCTTACAAAGAGAAACCAACCCAAATGACAGCAGATTTCAAAGCAGAAACTCTAAGAGCCAAGAGACTTGAAATAGGTTTCAAGTTTTTAAAGAAACTAACCACCAACCTCGATTACTATATCTGGCAAAGATATCTTTCAGAATTGAAGGACAAATAAAAATAGTCCAGGGGCTGGGGAGATAGCTCTGCAGTCTGAGTGCCTGCCTGGCAAGCACAAGGACCCAAGTTCGATCCCCAGGATGGCAGGCCATACCAGCCCCGAAAGCAGGCATGGTGGTGCACACCTGTAATCTCAGCACTGAGGAGGCTGAGGCAGGAGGATCACTATGAGTCTGAACTGCATAGTGAGACCCTGTATCAAGTAAATAAATAAATATTTTAAAAGAATATTCCAAGTAAGTGGAAACTAGAAGAACTCATTACCACTGAGTCAGTGTTATTGAAGATTCTTAAAAGAACACTACACACAAAAGACTACCCTAATAAATGGATATTAGTAAATAATTAAACATCAAAAACAATAGCAAACAGCAGGAATTAGTACATGCTTTTCAATAAAAACTCCAAAGATAAATGGTCTTAATTTTCTTATTAAAAGACAAGATGGTATACTGAATTAAAAAACTAGAGTAAATGCTTTGCTGCATGCAAGAAACACATCTCATCTACACATGCATAGACAGTACCTAGTGAAAAGTGAGGATTCCATACAAATGGTCTCCAAAAGCAGTAGGAGTAGCTATACTCACATGCAACTAGGCAGACTCCAAACAAAAATTAGTAAGAAGAAACAAAAAATGCCACTACATATTTGTCAAACAATCTACCAAAAATATGTAATAATTGTAAATATATATAAGCATGCCTTCGGTGAATCCAATTCATAAAACAACTACAATTTAACACAAAGGGACACACAGTACACAATAATAATGGATGACTATAATACTCCACCATCATCAATAGATTGTTCATCCAAAAAAAAGTCAAAAAACAAAAGAAGGGTTAAACTACACCACAGATCCAAGTGGACTTAACAAACACATGTACAACATACCCTCCTGCAAGTGCTGAATACAGTACTTCATGGAACTGTCTATAAAGTAGACCATATTTTAGGCCATAAAGGACATCTTATCAAGTACAAAAAAAAATTGACTTGCATCTTATCAGATCCTAATGAAATGAAAACAGAATTCACAGCAAGAGAAACTATAGGAACTATGTAAGCACAGGGAGATTGGATAATATATTTCTGAATGATAAGTGGATCACTGAAGAAATAAAGGGTGAAATATTTTTTAAAATCCTACCATCAAACAGTAATGGAAACATGAAATACAAGCATGTGTGAGATACAGTAAAGGCAGTTCAAAGAGAGAAGTTTATAGCTATTAACCACTAAACTTGAAAAATTTGAGAGATTGCAAGGTATTACACAAACAGGAACAAACTAAATACAAAAGCTATAGGAGGGAGAAAATAATAATCATCAGGGCTGAAAATAGTGAGAGACTAAAAAAAAATACAAAGGATCAATAAAACATAGTTGGTTCTTTGAAAAGATGAACAAGACTAATAGGCCCTCTGCCAAAATGTTCAAAAGAAAAAGAGATGCCTCAAATTCATAAGAAATATAATGTGATATTACAGTATATGCATCACTGAAGTCCAGAGGATTACTAGGAACTCTGTTGAAAACTTGAACTCTAAAGAATTGGAAAACCTAGAAGAAATAAAAAAAAACCTTTAGACCTATATGACCTATCAAAATTGAAACAAGAAGATGTGAAAAACTTCAGTAGATCAATAACAAGCAAGGAGGAGTAGGATTTTCTGCCGAGTTCCGGGAGCCCCCAGACCCAGTCCTAGCCTAGGTCTGCAGCAGGAAGGAGCTGAGCACAGCAGCCAGACCTAAGCCAGACGCAGCTGGATAACTCCAAACTCTGTAGAGCTCCACCTG